TAGCAAATGGCTGCAATATAACAAAGAGTGAAAAATTTAAGGGGGTCTGAATACTTTCCGTACCCACTGTATGTGTGTATAAGCATGCATGTTTATGTGTGTTATTTGTGTTGATGTTGTTTGTATTTTTTTCGTTTGTATGATTTTGTATGTGTGTTTGTCTTGTATGTGTTTTTGCTCCTGCATATTATGCAATTGATGTTTTTTGTGTATTTACGTTTACATGATGTGTGTATGATTATGTTTGTGTGTTTCAGGAGAGTCAGGTGGAGGTCACGCACCTGCAGCAGATATATTGTTTTTCATTATTAATCATTCTAAAATATAAAAATTAGGATTTGTTTTTGTTTTTTGGACGATTATGCTCTAATGATGTCAACATTCAAATTGTTAATTTATTATTGAAATTACAAAATACTGCTTTATCCACATTATTTGAACATGAGAAAAATGATTGGAAACTTTGAAAAAAGTTCCTTTATAGTTCCTTATAATAAGTTCCTTATTATTATCCTTTATTTTCAAGTTCCTTTATTTAGAAGGATGTTATTTTAACAGCATTCAGAACATATCAAACATAAAACTGTAATGTTTGAACATTGTGAGAACTTTTATCAGCTATAAATATCATAAGGGCATTCCATTAACATTGTTTTATGTTCATAACATTTATGCAGTCTTTACATGATGCTTTTGGCATGTTTGCTGGAACTATATTAGTTTGTACACTGTTACATTTAGTGGTTATAGAGGATCTTTTTACCATTAGACATGCTCTCGCTCGTGTGCCCTGTGCTAAACTTAGCTAACAGCTTGTGGCTACGCTGAGAGGGTCCTTTAGAGATACTGTACACGCATTCGACCTGAACGTCCTGCCCTCGGGCCGTCGTGAGCTCTCTAATGTGACTGTGCTCTGGAAGCGTGATCACTACCGAGATCGATATGATGAAGCTACTCATCTGCTGCTGTTAAAAACGACCCCGGTTTATGACCCGAGCTGCACGTAAACACTGCTGCTCAAAATGAGTTTGGTATTGAGTAAGAGGATGTGTAAAGCGCCTGGTTTTCATGCATGTGTTGAATTTTCCAGGGCATGTGCTTTCACTGCCAACCCAACCTTCCCAACCTTATCACTTATTTCTTTGAGCATTACTTGAGATTTCAAGTAATGTCCTAGCCATTCAACAAATAATGTTTTTAATACATATTGCTGGACTTATTGTGCATGATGATGTTTCTCTCTGTATCTAATATTATTACATTATATTATGTAGAATAGAATAGATGTTGCATTAATATAATATTTAGTAATTATAGCCATTTAATAAATTTAATGAATCATGTTGCTGTTCTTATATGTGGTGCGTCAACTGAGTGGTGCACTCTGCTAAGCCACTAGCCCTGAATCCCTAAGGTCATGTGTTTGGGAAGTCGTGGCCTAATGGTTAGAGAGTCGGACTTGTAACCCAAAGGTTGCGGGTTCGAGTCTCGTACTGGCAGGGATTGTAGGTGGGGGGAGTGAATGTACAGCGCTCTCTCCCACCTTCAATACCACGACTGAGGTGCCCTTGAGCAAGGCACCGAACCCCCAACTGCTCCCCGGGCGCCGCAGCATAAATGGCTGCCCACTGGTCCGGGTGTGTGTTCACAGTGTGTGTGTGTTCACTGCTGTGTGTGTGCACTTTGGATGGGTTAAATGCAGAGCACTAATTCCTAGTATGGGTCACCATACTTGGCCACATGTCATGTCACTTATATATAATATAATTAAATTAAATTATAATATAATATAATATAATTGTGTTTTTAATACGTGTTGCTGATCTTATTGTGTATGATGATGTCCGTCCTGGTAATCTTTAATATAATATAATATAATATAATATAATATAATATAATATAATATAATTGTGTTTTTAATACCTGTTGCTGATCTTATTGTGTATGATGATGTCCGTCCTGGTAATCTTTAATATAATATAATATAATATAATATAATATAATATACAGGAATTTCTGCTAATTTTCTAAATGCAGTTAATCAAGGTTCATCTCACACAACCCTAGCACAGTTAGGAAAGCATCTTTAACTATTAAGTGTCACTTAAAATGATGAAATACAAATTTCAACTAACCTTTAGCAGTATTTAAACAAAAAAAGTGCTTGTGTACATGTACAGTGCCCTCCAAAAGTGTAGAAATGCCCTAGGTTTCATAAATCCTTATAGCTTCATTATCATGTCAGACATGTCCCTTAAACAGCTGTGATGTCTGATTACTTGATTAAATTTGGCCTATGTTTATTTTTTTGAAGATTACTGGGTCAAATCACCTATATTGCTTTACTGGTTGATTGACAGTTAAGGTTAATACACAACCGACCAATTAGAACACAGTTTAGAGATGGATTAAAACAGTGCTAGCATTTCCCTGATGAAAAACACCTGCCTAAAACAGCCTAAGATGGTTTGCTGGTCGTAGATGGTTTAAACTGGTCCAAAATAAAAATAATAATATGGTTTTCAACACTGATAACAACAAATGTCTCTTAAGCAGCAAATCAGCATTTTAGAATGATTTCTGATCATGTGACACTGAAGACTGGAGTAATGATGCTGAAAATTCAGCTTTGCATCACAGGAATAAACTACATTTTAAAAAATATTCAAGTAGAAACCAGTTATTTTAAATTGTAATCATATTTAGCAATACTCCTTGTTTTTACTGTATTATTTATTTATCAAATTAATGCAGCCTTGCTGAGCAGAAGAGACTTCTTTCAAGAACTTAATTATTCCAAATTTTTTGACGGTAGTGTATGTTTGCATAAATTGTTTTGTCAATACAAAGTCATCTAAAAAATAATAAGGATTCATGCTGATGTTGTCCAACAGCCGTTAGTGGTCTATATTTCTGTAGTTCCCTTTATTTGACATTTGTCTTTGTGTATTTTAGCTGGAGGATAGTGAAGCCAGACGCTTGGAGTCTGAAAGCGCACAGAAGACTCTGGCTGCAGAGCTAGAAAATGCTCAAATCGAACTGGAGAGCATCTGCAAGCAGAAGAGCCTGGTGAGGCCTGAGACATGAAATGAAAGGAGCAAAGGGCTGATCCCAGGTTTATCTCAGTGCGTCTCTGTCTGTTGTCTCAGGTGGATGAGCAGCTGGCTCAGCTCCGCTACGAGAGGACGGACCTGATGAAGAGGCTGGAGGAAGACCAGGAGGATCTCAACGAGCTCATGAAGAAGCACAAAGCCCTCATCGCTCAGGTCTGCTGGAGTTACATCACTCTCGGGGAGTTATGAGCTGTTTTCAAAATAGTGCAGCTTTTCCAATAACAAGCAGTTTTTTCCCCATCACACAGTCGGGAAGCGTGGCAAAATGCTATAATTTGTCATATTGCATTGCACACGCTCCTAAAGCATCCTCTCTCTCTAGTCTGATTCATTTGAGTAAATCGGTGATTCATTTTGCTAAATGGATGCTTCATTTCAACTGGTAAAAAAAATGGCTTATCCTTTCACTTGAGTCATCACTTAATAGTGTTTCCAGTCCTTGGGCAACAGCATTAGATGTTTTCTTTTCATAGCAAAATAAAAATTGACATTACTGAGGTTAATGGCTATAAAAAAATTAAGATGAATTTAAGATTATCCAGTAAGATTTTATTTGGTTTGATCCCAATGGTTTGGTTTCAGACTATGAAAGAAGTTTAAGTTGCATTCATTAAATATTTCTAACTATCTTGACAAACATTTTCAAAATAGTTACTCCAACACTGATGTGTGTGAGGTTATGTAAAATATCCCAAAGCCAACCAGACATATTTGTTTATCCCAGTCTTCCAGTGATATCTCTCAGATCCGAGAGCTTCAGGCTGAAATGGAGGAGCTGAAGAAACAGAGACAGGCCCTACAGGAGGAGGTGAGACAGACACACTGAGACATAGATGTGTGATGCATTAGATGTCCATTCACACGTGGAGCAGGCACATATGAACATACTACTGTAACATGGGCCCACTCACAGTTTACTACTGTTAGTAAAGTTCCTACTTCTAAGCAGTAACATGAAATAATGCAAAATACTTAAGAAATCCATCAGAAGTAAAACGCTTTTTAAATGAGTTTATTTTCAGTGTATTGTGATTTGGGACACAATGGGATGGCTTGTTTCCACCATAGAATAAAAAAAAATTAATAGGTAATTGCGACTTTTTAATCTAACAATTGACATAAATGCAAACTCGTAATTGCAAGAAAAACGTCAGAATTGTATAATATAAACAGACAAATAAGCAAACAGAAATAAGCAAACAGAATTGTGAAATATAAACAGAATTCACAGGAAAAATTTTACCTGCTAACTGTCGGTTCCACTTTTTGAGCATAGACCTGAAAATGACATTTCCAACTTAAACTGTTATAAATTTTGAATGCTTTGGACCACAAACTTAAAGTTGGTCTCTTTTAAAGAAGCCACTTGGCAGATTATTGTAGAAGTGAAAAAAGTTATAAAGATTGTATAACAAAAAAGTTATGGAAGTTTAAGTTTATGAAAATATAAAATGTAATAATTGAAATATTTATATTTTATATAAAATTATATATTTTACAAAACATGTTTTACTCTAAAACTGCTAGAAATTCAAAATTCTGAACAGGTTATGTTCCAAATTTGAGGTTGATATCTCAAAAAATGAGCTTTCAGTGAGATTTAGTTTGGGCGTAGTACCAAGCTTTTCCACTAGATGACCATCAAACCCCATTAGTATCCATTTAAGGGCGCCTTGATGTCCATATATGGTTCGAGTGATCTGAAACATGTTTTTCCATACTTTTCTAAATATTTATGAAGTAAACATCACATTCAGAAGTATTAAGGGCAGTATGGCAGTATTTGATTTCAATTCAACCAAAAAAAAAACACATAAAAGACATGCTACGATAACCCTGGACTTGCGTTATAGTTCACGATACATCAAAAATGGAGAATCTATTGTTTTTTTCTATATATTCAAAAACATATTCAAGACCTTTTTTCTGGAAATAGAATGGATGTTATCTTTTGAACACTCTCCATGAAAATGAATGAAGATTTTAACAGATTTTTCATGATTTTATATGTGCATCACTATTTCAAAGTAAAGGTCACAACACACTCTCGGACTCTGATGAGTACTCTTCTTGCATATTGATAAATTACAGTTGCTCTGTAAAATATTTCAAAAATCAGTCACCAAATATCAAAACTGGCGTCTTTAAGCTTTCAAGCGTTATATAGTTTGTCAAGATTACTTTAGGTTCAGACTAAGATATTACTGTTTAAAACATGTAATGGCAAGTGGGCCCACCGTTGGGCCCATGACAGTTAACAGGTGCAGGCGGCCCAGACTCCAAATTCTGTGAAAAGTCACAATTATGAGTTTATAACTTGGAAGTATGAGATATAAACTCACAATTGTGAGAGAAAAAAAATAGAATTGTGATATTAAACTTTTATCAAGAAACAATTGCAAAATGAAAACTTAGAATTCAGAGAAAAAAAGTCAAAATTACAAAATGTAAATTTAGAGTTTTGAGACAAAAGTTATAAACTCAAAATTACAAGTGTGAAATAATAAACTCACAATTCTGAGAAAGTCTGAACTGTGAGAAAGTCGCTGAGGGAAACAGTCTTCTGTAGGGACACACTAATCCTGTTCTCACATACTTGCTTGTGTTATGTTTTTATTTGAATTTGCACTGAGGAAGACTGTTGTGAATGTGGAGTCGAAATATTGTTGTTGTATTTTGTTTCACAAGCGTGGTCGTAACCCAGCGGTGCTTATCTTCCCAGCTGCAGACCAGCGTAGCACGTGTGCAGTTTCTAGAGTCGTCCACTGTGGCCCGCAGCATCGTAAGCAAGCAAGAAGCTCGTATCTGTGATCTAGAGAACAAACTGGAGTTCCAGAGAGGACAGGTCAAGAGATTTGAGGTCAGTCCAGACCCATTAACAGCTTTATACTCTTTCTCAGAGAGGATCTTTACGGTGTGTGTGTGTGTGTGTAGGTGCTGGTTCTGCGTCTGCGGGACAGTGTGGTGCGGCTGGGTGAGGAGCTGGAGCAGGCAGCCCAGGCCGAGGCCAGGGAGAGGGAGAACTCCCGATACTATCAGCAGAGACTGGCGGATATGAAACTGGAAATGGACGACCTGAGCATCAGAGAACAGGAGAGCAGCCGTCGACGCATGGAGCTGGTGACTGACACACACACAAACACACCTTTCTGCTGTAGCTGTTGAAGCAACACATTATTCTATTTACTTATTTTTACGATATTTAACACACAAGTAGTAGTTTATCATGACTATGGAAATCCTAAAAGGTGAGTATTTTTTATTTGTTTTATATATATATTTATGTTTATTTAGTGGTCACAATTAAATTTTCCTTCATTTTCTTTCATTTATCAAAATAAATAAATAAATAATGGATATTGCTTGGATATTCAGTTTAGTTTAAGATTACACTTATATTATTGTTTATATATTTTAGTATATTATAAATGTTAACTTTGAGGGTGAGAGGATGGTAAAGGTAATCAAAATGTATAAATATGCTACATTTAATATCTGATACAGTATACCCAGTCAACACGTGAGATCATGCGATGATCACAGTGATATCACACCATTCTCATAGTGTGATACTCACCGTGCGAGTAATATGTGAGCTCATTGTGAAGTCAAAATGTTGAGCAGGTTGAGAGGAGGCAGTTCAAATATCAGTCACCGAGGAGGCTTTCTATATCCTGTTTCTCAACACTATCACTGTGATATCACAGTGCTCTCACATGGTGAGCTCATGAGTGCACACTCAGCAAGCAGTTTTCTGTTATAAGAACCTTCTCCGAACATACAACTGACTTCCAGACACAGCCTTCGATGAAATCAACTGAAATACAAAAGACATTAAATCTTTCGTGCATCACGAAATTATTTCAGCATCATTACTCCAGTCTTCAGTGTCACATGATCCTTCAGAAATCATTCTAATCTGCTGATTTGCTGCTGAACAAACATTTCTTAATTTTAGCAATGCTTGAAAACAGTTGTGATGCTTTTTTTGAAAACCATGATACATTTTTTTAAATTTCTTTGATGAATAGATTTGAATAATAATAATTTATCAATTTTGATTAATTTAATGCATCTTTGCTGAATTAAAGTATTAATTTCTTAAAAAATAAATAATAATATATATATATATATATATATATATATATATATATATATATATATATATTATACAGTGGCAT